GAGCTTCTGGGATTTCATCTCATACAGAGTGTGCATGTTTCAAGAGTGCCAAACCTTTTGCCAATATAGAAACGATACTGGAAAGAGGGCAAGATTATTGCAGGTTTGAGAACTGTCTTAAGTTCTTAAGTAAAGTAGGCAACCTTTAAAGTAGGCAAACGTTATTGAAAATGTATTTGAGAGTACCTGCATTAAGAGAAAGTTAAAGAAAATGATGTACAAGTTTAAAGAAAAAAATTATGTTTTAAAAAGGATGTTTATAAAAGAAAAAAAATATTTTACAAGGAGAGTTTGCAGGGAGGGATCTAAATTTAATATTGAAGTTTAAAGCTTGCACGTTAACAAGTTAAAAAAAATATGCATTAGAAAGTTTTGACTTAAAAAAGTGTTTAAAGACAGTTTAGCACTTCAAAAAAAAGGGTGAAAAAAAGAGTGTTTTTTTCCCTCCAGTAAGGTAAAAAAATGTTAAAGAATACAATGAATCTTGTTAATAAAAATGGTGACAGTTCACAAAGATTATTACATACTATTTCCATAGCAAGGAAGATAAAGCAGGGATAGTTAAATTGATTATTTTATTCAAAGAGGAAAATATATTTAAACATGTTTTTCACTTGGATATCATTTCTGCATTTTGTGCTTGTGATGAAAAAAAAAAAAAAAGGAAATGTTGACTTTGGTTTTGTTGATCACAAAGATTTGTCATTACAGAAATGGTTAAGGTCAAGATTCCCCTGCACATGCATGCTAGTCGTTTTCGGCTCTAGGGGCAGTGATCATCTCCATTTCTAAGCCAAAGAGCCAGCACTGTCCAAAGACGTCTCTGGGGTCAGGTGGCTAGCATGACTAAATGCAGAAGGCACACAGAGAGCTGTTACGTTCCCACCAAAGATGGTCCCTATTTTTCTACTTGCGTTTTTTACGTGCTTTTGAACTGCTAGGTTGGCAGAAGCTGGGACAAGTAATGGGAGCTCACTCTGTTACATGGTGCTAGGGATTCCGAGCCACCGCATCCCTCTGGGTTAGTTACAGTTAGTTACAGAAATGGTTAGTTACGTATTGTGTAAAAGCAAAAAGTTGAGGCTGGACTGTTTTTATCTTGTACGGTGCTAAGAAGAGTCGGAAAACAACCCCCCCTTTTTTTTCTCCCCCCCCCCTTGTATCTCACACCTTCTTTTCCCCATTCCTTTTCCTTCCCTTGATCACCTATTTCTACTTTTTCTTTCTATTTTATATAATTAAACAAATAAAAAAAATGAACGAGAACTGTCTTCTCTGCTCAACTAAAATTGTATAAAGAAAAATATCTGCATATGACTGCTGAACATATCCAAAAGCTTCTCAGATGGTCTCAAAATACACAATGGATTTTTAACACACAACAACCGTTCATGGATACGATGTTATCCATTCAGTCTGTATGACTCTTGGTGATTCTATGGGGCAGGTCTCCACATTGTCTGATCTTGCATTACTTCTTTGACTTGTTCTGTGCTTTGGCTTGTGTCAGCTTTGATGGTAATTCATGGATAAGGTACTGTAATTAGTTTCACATGTAGGCCGAATCTGTATATTAATGCTGTCTTCTTCTCTTTTCCACTGCCTCCTTCATCCAAGTTTAAATCCTACACCAGTCTGGCCATTTTTTTGCATTTGATGGAATGAAATTCAGATCATGTAAGTTATGTCTTTCAGTAAATTTGTTAGTCAGAAAAGATGCTCCTAGAGTCCTCCTGATTTTTCTTTTTTTTGTCTGAGGGTAATAACTCTACACTCCTGATCTGTTAAATTGTATCCTTTGAACCACCTCCTGCTTCCTCCACCTTCTACATGACATGATTTAGTTCCTCGCTCACTAGATTGACTTGTCTTCAGTTACTGTGGACTCATTTGATGTAACTTAGGGCAAAATGTTTTTATATCCATCCTAATTTTCCTGATAAAATTAAAGATCTGATCACCTTCTCTGAGATTACAGTATTTGATGGGAATCCATTCTCAAAATAATTCTGGAATCTGGAAGTCTCATTTGTAATCAATGAGGTATATAATCAAAGACCACCATGTAAACACATGTAGAATTGTACTGTTCATTTCTTCACCTTGCATTTGCAAGCTAAATTCTATCAAGCTAAATCATTACATTATTGCAAAGGTCTAGGTCACTATTCTACTTGCACTAAGGTGTTTCTTGTCCTATGCATTATGTGCTCTAAATTTATTTTGCAAGCTCCATGTACATTGCTTGTATCATAAAAATCAAAACAGGCCATGTATGAAAGGCTGATGTTTTATTTGTTATATTGAGATGTGCCATCAAAGGAACTACATACATACCATGTGATTCTAGTGTTTTGGCTTAATTATTTCAAAAGGATAAATGTCATTATTTGAGCATTATTATCTAGGGTAGAAATACTTATCAGCAGGTCAAATGTTATCTTCTCCTTCAAGTTAGACTATCTTCAATATATCATTGAATACTACAGTGCTAAAGACGCTAGCATTAAGGATTTCTTCCCTTCATGAAAATCTAGTATTTTCTGCAGTTTATTCAAATTCTTTAAGTCAGATTTAAATTTCCATATTCATTCATTCATTCATTCATTCATCCATCCATCCATCCATCCATCCATCCATCCATCCATCCATCCATTTTACATGTTGCCTACCTCACTATCCAAAGAGACTCTAGATAATAATCTGTTTTTGTGTATTATTAACATTAATAGATTATCACAAACATGATAATGAATCAACCAATGCTATTCATAAAATGAAATTGTTTAAAGTGAAGCAGAATAAGTCTACAGAGCAATTTAATAACCAAATAACATTGACTATCCAAAATAATGCAGATGTCTAAGGCAATCTTTAAATAAACAAGGCTTCCTAGTTGTACAATTGATTATTCATTAAAATGATAGATTTGCAATACTGGTGAAAAAAGCTTTTTTTTTTTTTTTTTTTTTTTTTTTTACAAATATTCATTTTCTTCTACTCAGGTTTAAAGCTATTTTATTTGCAGGCAGAACATGTTCACTTTTTGAGTGTTTTATTTTATTTCTATAACAGGGGAGATGGCAACTCCTGAGTTCTCTGCCATCCAGATCTCATGATTTAACTCTCTTTTTCCCATTAGGAGTCCCAAAGTCTCATCATATTTTTAGGTGAGAAAACTCCAAATGCAGGAAACACCTATGCCAAAACATCACAAATATACTACTTCGTATATTGTCTATTTTGCATAATAACTTTATGGAAAAACAAATTAGACTTTTCTAATTGAAAAGAAAAGAAGACTAGCTAGTTTCAAAATCCTCAATTATTTTTGTTTCCAAGAATGGTCTTGTGTTATTTTGATGAAAAGCAGCTTAAGAAGCTAAAATCACCGTAATAATTTGCCATCCAGCAGGTCCATGTTTTAGAACTCACCATGGCCCACCATGTTGTCAATGAGGAAGCCTTTCCGTAATATGCATTTGTAATTCTGTGTGCTACTTGGCCTCCACATTCCTAGTGTGCCCATCAGGGCCAAAAGGTGAGGTTTTCCTATGCCCAATTTGTAATTTTTTTTTTACATACAACCTTAAAATTCAGAGAAAGAAGGATGGTTTCATGTTTATTAAACTACCTCTGCAGGGATACTTTGCTTGAGAAGTCCTTTGACAGAGCATGAAAGATACTATAATGTGGTCATGTCCTCTTAAACTATTTGTCTAATTAACTTGAGAGGTTGCAGCAATTATTTTTGTTATCTCTGGCAGCTGAACTAAAAGAACTTAAATGTAGGAGGGTTTTTTCAAACACACAGAAAGGCACTATAAAGAGAAAGAAATATTCCACAATACTTAGGTAGGAAAACAAAGGAAAAAGATCAAAATAAATTAAGGAACCTATGTGCATGCTTTGATTTGATAAGGGCTGTAGCTTGTATCTGAAGAAGCAAGATTCATATCTGTTCAATAATAACTTATGTGTATTGACTATGTGTAAGTGTAGCTTACACACAGCTAACAATGGATAAAATGAATATCAAGGGATGTAATATTAGAAATCTGTTTTGTAATAGTGTCTTCACTTCTACACTTCTGAGGTAGTAAGAACACAGTTCTGCCAGTATTAGGGTGGTGTCAAAATCAGTATGTTACAATAGATGTTTGGACTGGAGTTTTTAATTAATCCCAACATTCCTGGGCTGCACAGGGAACATAGATTTGTGTTGATTGAGAAAGCAGCACTGGTAGTCTATAAACAATTTAACAGTGAAAAATAAAATAAGCTGCACATTTGCAATGCTACTTTTGGATGTCTATTCAAATCCCCAGCACCATCCTTATTTCCACATTATATTTATAATTCTTCAAAGGAATGCATAAAGCTATCTTATTTCCTGTCAAATTCCCATACCATCTCTCTTTGTATGGTATATTCAGACTGATCTCAGCTTCTAAGTGTCTCAGCCAGGGAATCTTTCTCATTATCTATTGCCTAATCCTTTTCACCCAAGAAACAAGGATGGCATAAGGAATATTCTTCATAGAAGGCATATATTCCTACCCTATGGAAGAGCCCCCCCCAGCCCAAAATTCAGATGGCCCCAACCTGGTGGTGTTTTATAGGGCCTTGAAGACTTGGCTCTTCTCCCAGGCCTTTGGCAAGGGTGAATGAAGCCCCCTTGGATTGTGTGTGTGTGTTTGTTTTGTTGTTATTATTCCTATCTGGTTCTTGTCGTCTTTGCCATCTTTTGTTCTTCATTTTTGTTCCTTGTTGTATGTTTTAGTGTTTTTATTTGTGAACCACCAAGAATCATTGAGACTTAGATGGCATTCAAATCAAATAGATATAGATGATAGATACTGTAGATGATAGACAGATATAATTTTCTAGAGATAACTGTGTATGACCTTTACATTTGATTTTTCTTATGTTTTCATCAGTAAGAAGGCAAGCATGTAATATGTTCAGTCATCATTCACTTAAGTACAGGAAAGTATTACCTTAGTGTGATCGGTACAAGGACATCCCTGTTAATGGAGTGATTGGCAGTCACTGTCAAAATGTTTGGAGAAGGGCCACAGCCAAATCGAGCAGTTGGCTTCCCATTCATGAGGTAAAGATGAAGGAAATGTTCTTCTGAAAATTCATCATTAGCTTTAAAAAGAATGAAATTATTTAGTTATATGACACTTACACAGAGATAAAGAAGTTCAATTCTTGCTCAGTTTTACACTCCATTTTGATTTTCTCCAATTGACTCATATTATTTTTTTCCCTTGCTCTCTCTCTCTTTTTTTGGGGGGGGGGAGAGGGAAGCGGAAAAAATGTGTTTTACCCACTATCTACAGTATAGAAACAGCCTCCTTCAAATAACACAGAACACGAGATACTTCAGTATCATTTTTTATTTTTATGTATCTTCCTTGTTCACCAATTTCTTTCCATTACAGTTCCAACCCAATTGTGAGGATTTTTGTGGCTTTCTTTATTCCAGAAACCAATCTGATACATAACAATTCTTTGTTCAGAATAAAAAGTAGCTTTTAAAAAAAGTATTTTCATAACTCTACAAACCTGTTATACTTTTCTATTGACAAAGTCTCTAGAAGTACGGGGGGAGGGAAGCAGTTTTAAATACATTTTCATGAACATGGAAAAACATAAATCAATATTAGGAATATTTGAAAAAACCCTACAATCTTCATCAATTTCTTCAAGTTTTTTATTTATTTTTTTATTTTTTAACAAACATATCAATGTGTGAACAGTGTGGAAGCTGGGTATCATGCATTCTAATACAAATAAAACTAGTCAAATTAATCATAGTTATTACATTCAATCAGCTTATATATTTCTAATAATAATAATACACATTTATATTAAGTTACAGTCTATCATTATTCAATTGTTCCGTATTTTCTCTTGTTATTGCTTTTATTTTATTATATAAAAGTGTATACACTAATATTCCCCCTTTCTTATTTCTATCTCTTATTCTAATTTTTAATCATATCACCCTTTATTAAAAAAAATGTTTTTTTTCTATCCTACCTAACTTTTAGTCATGTCACCTACCTAAAAAAAAACTTTAATTGCTATGCTTTTTTTTTAACTTGCCTCCCATATTCCTCTCTTGAATCTTTATCTCCATCTATATCTACTTCTTGGCTGTTCAATCTAGATATTTCTCCCACCTCTACCTTCTTCCACTGCCTAGTTTCCAAAATTTCTGCCCAAGCCCTATTTCACTTTCAAAAATATCTTCCAGTATCTCCAATTCTCTTTTCAATTCACTTAATATATTTTCCCCCTGATTTAATTCATCAGTCACTATTATTTTCATTGTTATCTCCTCCTTGTCATTTTCTTTTATTCTCTGGTTCTATGGTTCAATCTTTTCCTCCATTTCTTCTGTTGGCTCCTGGGCATCATCATCATCGATTTCTGAAAGTTCAAATTATATTTTTCCAGTGAGTGTTCCATGATGGTCATCGGTATATAGTATTCTCTTTGGATCTTTCTGCTTTCAAAACAAACTGATGATTTTGCACATAGAGCCACTGGTAACAGTACTGGTATCAGTTGAATGTGATCATTACTAATACGATGACGTTATGTTAGTACTACTGTTGAGTTTCTTTCTTCAATGGAGAATTGTTTCCAATATCCCACTGGCAGTTAAGAAAATTTAAGAAACTTAAGCAATGGAAAATTATTATTTTTTATTGGTGAAGAGCTACCTGGACCTATTGTATTTTATCTCTAGGCACCAAACCACACAATACTCAATTGGCTTGTGAAGTCTTCTGAAATGATGGGAGTCTTTAGTTTCTTTGCTTATCCCCAGAACAATGGGAAAGCAGAATCACTTTTCTATGTGGCCAAGAAAATGTTGGAAAAAGCCAAGAAAGGTGGCTACCATCCCGGACCATCAGAACATCCCTTCACAGGTTTTGGTTCAAGGACCAATTGCATTGAAAGACTTAGTTGTCCATTAGAGATAACTTATTACCATCTGAAGGCAACAATAGAGAGGCTGCACTCATGACAGAAAACAAGCTACAAGAACTGTGTTATAATTGATCAGCTAAGGATCTTGCAGGAGTTTCTGAACGGACACAACCCACCAATGGAAGAGAACAAAGTCTGATGTCAGTTATCTACATGATTTTGTGAGATGGCCATTCCAAAGGGAGATGTTCTTAAGCAATAGAGAAGGAAGGAAGAATAACAAAAATGAAATATTGAGAGCACCTTGGCATGAGCCAACTGAAACGTGGACTTATCACTGATTGTAAATTTAAGCATTTGAGATCATCTCAGAAACAGCACATTAGAAATGTTGGAATTAGTCCTGCAATTATGTACCAGTGTTTCATGTGTTATAGTCAAAAAGTAAAAATAAAAATGATTTTGTTCTTTCGTTTGCCATCCAGCTGGACTATATTTGCATATATAAAAAGCAAGCAAAAGATATGCAATTGAAACTGCCACAATACTCCAGTTCTTGATCCAACAATGCACTTTTTTTCTCTTTCAAATATCAACATTTGTGAAAGCAAAAAAGCTTTTTCTTATCAATAATTTATTACAGGAATGTGTATAATATGCCACCTGGAATGTGGTCAAATGTATATTCAAACTTTGATCATGCATACTGTGGTAAAGTCTTAGTTCTTTTTTTCCCCACAGAAAACACAGAAGTCCACTTCTATACCCATAGCAAAAATCTCCAAATTAGTGTTTGTTTATGGCAGAGTAGTTATGTATTTTTATATGTATATCTGACAATACTTTTTTTCAAATCTTTCTCTCATACCTCAAGAAACTTTGTTGTATAGGAAGCAGAATTCAAAAAATTGTTTAGTAATAAGGGAAGCTCTCTTTTAAAAAAAAAAAAAAAAATCTCAGCAAGTACCCATAATGGCTGTTCTAGCGGCAGACCTTGACTTATGACTACAATTGAGTCCTGAATTTTGGTTGTAAGTAGCTGCCTTTTTTATATGAGTTACCATATGACCTGACACAATTTTACAATATTTTTACAATGGTCATTAAATGAGTGAATCACATGGTCATATATTAGCATATCCAGTGGGCGTTTTCTGCTGTTTTCTGCTGGAAAATGACAAAAGGTCACAATTCATGGTCCTATGACCCTGGGACACACCGAAGCAGTTGTAAATTCAATCTGGTTGCCAGAATGTGACTACTTGACTATGGGAGAAAAGAGTGAGGCAGACATAACTTCAATGGTGAGATGTAAGTACTTTTTTTGAAGTCTTGACTAACCTTGAATGGTTGTTCAGTGACTGGTCATTAAGCAAGGACGCCTCTTTGATTCTTAAGGAAGAAAATAATTCAGAAGGTGAGAAGAGATATATTATCTGATTAGTAGCTATTGAGTCTATTTTTCTTCCTTCATTTAAAAAAAAATCATCCAATTAGCCTGAAATACCTCAAGAACTCCTCTCTCTCCTCCCTCTTCTACTTTATGAGAATGACCATCGGACCACACAATTCTGTTTATTGTTGTATCCTAGTCTTCTTGTTGGCTTTTAATGCATTTTTGCCAGTCTCCTCTCTACCTATCCATTTGTGATTATTGTTACTACTTGTTTTCTCAAGCTATTTTTTTTTCTCCCAAGCACCTTTAATATTGGGCATCCTGTTCCACAGTTTTCTAATAATTTGGAAATCTTCCAGCCCTCAGTTGGCTCTGTGGAAATATTTAATATTTAATCAACGTGATAATCAACCAGGTAATCTTCTGTGCCCATACCCAATCCTTGCAGTTTTCCTATGACTTCAGTTTAGTTATTGAGTTCTTACCATCACGAGGTATACTGACTGTTAGATTGCAATCCAATGAGAGTAATCACTGCTGAACACCCTAACTCTAACCCACACCAAAATTCTCATGGTTGGCTGCACATAGGCAAATGTTCTGCAAATGGTTCACCTAGGAGAAAGTGCTCCTCAAAGGAAAGACCAACCTAGAACTAAGGAGGAAATTCCTGACAGTGAGAACAATTAATCAGTGGAAGAGTGACTTGCTTCCAGAAATTGTGGGTGCTCCATCACTGGAGATGAGACTAGACAGCCACTTGTCTGAAATGGCATACGGTCATCTACTTGGATGAGAAGACCTTCAAGGTTCCTTCCAATTCTTGTTGTTCTGTTCTGTTATTCTGCTTGCTGAAAAGTTTGAAATCACCTTTATGCAATTTTGAACATCTGGAGCATATTGTTTACAAAATCACCATCTGGCTTTGTTCTGCTTTTTAGCTCTCTGCTGGGCTGCTGATGAAAATTGTCCCAGAAGTTTAAATGCAGGATCCTGTAGAGCTTAGTGCTGTTTTGGATCTGTCTATGGAAAATAATTGTGTTTGGGAAGACTGTAGTGTAACAGTTCCCTAGAGAATAACTGGATATCAATTAGCTAGCAAGTTATGGCTGTGATACATGGCACAGTGAATGAACCCGCAAAGCTCATCACAGCATATACAGGTAAGGCTCTGCCAGAACTGTTTTAAGACTCTGATAGGTACAGGAACAAATGGTCCATTCTTTTTTTTTTCTTTCCAATGAATTTGATGTCAATATAATATATTGCCTATACCTTTGTTGTCTATAGAAATCTATGATCCAGTAAAATAGGAGCTGTGTGGGAAAGTGTTGTGGTCCGCCAGCAGCCTGTGGAGCTGGCAGTGGAGTTGGACAGTGAGGAGTCTGGGGAGGAACATAGGCCAGTCCTGGAGTCTGTGGAAGGCTCGGACGAGGGCTCTGCCTTGGAGGAAGAGATGGGGCCAGGGCCATCTGGGAGTGATGTGCGGACTCCAGAGCCTCCAGAGCTGGACAGCAGAGAGGCAGAGGAACAGGAGGAGTCTGTTCCTAGTATGCGCAGAGCTGCCAAAAGGCATGAACACTTAAAACAAAAGGGATGACTCGGGAGTAAGGCCTGGAGATGATTGGCCCCTCTCATAAGACTTAAAAGAGGAGCAAAGGCACGTGGGCACTTTGCAGGAAAGCAACATTGTTAATTCTGTTCCCAGTTGGCATCTGTTTGATTCTGGACTCCGTGTGACTTTGCCAAGTAGGTCTTTGGCAGTGTGTCAAAGGAGATAAAGGTTGGTGATTATCCCGAAGGACTTCTCCCGAAGGACTTTTTGCAACTAATTGGGACTCAGCTGTGAACAAACGTAATTCACAGCTGTTGCAGTAAAAGAGGTTTTTTGGACTACTCGTGTGTTTTAATGACTCAGTAAGCCTAGGTCACAACAGAAAGTAAAAACACTGAAATTATTCTTGGGGTTATAACTTCACTGACTGGTTTCAGTGAGGTGAGTGAAAATGAGCCACATTTTGGGTGGGGTTCTCTTCCTATATAGGGACTCCCAAAGACCTTTTCAGCCATGAACCCACCTGCCAACTGAGAATTATTCTTTGATCTTTTTTTTTTTAAATTATCAGAGAGTTCTATTGTAGAATACCAGAGTTCAAAGGGAGCATTGAGACTGAAAGGAATGAACTGAAGCTAAAACATTCCAGAGAAATAGTCATCTTGTCTCTGCTTGACCAAATGCAATGAGGGGGACCTCACCCCATTTCTGGGTGCTCAATTTTACTGTTGAACTGCTCTTAATGATATGAAGTTTCTTTGAACATTAAATCAGAATCTGCCTTCCTGTATCATGACACCACCATTATGGATTTTGCAGTCTGGAAACCAGGAGGACAGGCCTTGATTTTCTGGTGTGTGATATTTGTTCAGGTATTTGAAGTTTGCTACCATCTTCTCCTTGTGTCAATATCAATATATTTTATCTGGCTTTACAAGACATAATTTAAAATCCTTCCTGTGATCATCTTCAGGGAATGTCAGCAATTTATGTGACTTGTTAACTTCCCTCAGTATCCATGAAGATGTGGTCCTTTGCGTAGCCAATTAAATTCCAACATAACTTTTTCTGACTTTTTCTGCGATTTTATAACACTTTTGCCTTGCCATTTTTGTCTTTTAAACTGAGGGACCTGTTGGTATCTGCAGAGGGTCAAAACACAGAAGATGATAGCTTTGTAAGGGACAGAGTTTCTATTACTAGATCATGACACAGATGTTGTCATTCTGACAAAATATCCGGTGGCTGAGATCTACATGACTTCTTTGCTTCTTAATAGTTTGGCCAGTTGACTTAAAGGTAAAATTTACCCTCACACATATGCGCTAGTTGTTCCCAACTCTAGGGGGCGGTGCTCATTTCCGTTTCAAAGCTGAAGAGCCAGCACTGTCCGAAGACGTCTCTGTGGTCATGTGGCCGGCATGACTAAACGCCAACTGTATGGAACACTTTCCCACCAAAGGTGGTCCCTATTTTTCTATTTGCATTTTTTACATGCTTTCGAACTGCTAGGTTGGCAGAAGCTGGGACAAGTAACGGAAGCTCACCCCGTTACACGGCAGTAGTATTTTGTTTTTATCCGGCTGTACACTGCCCTGAGTCTTTCGAGAGAAGGTGCGGTATATAAATTTGAAATAAAATAAAATAAATAAAATAAGTAGGGATTCAAACTGCTGAACTGCCGACCTTTCGATCAACAAGCTCAGCATCTTAGTCACTGAGCCACCGTGTCCCTGCTAGTTGATTTACAGGTTGTTAACTTTGATATGCAGATCTAAGTGTCCTATAATATGGGCCAGGTATCCCATTATTCAAGTATACCCTTTGTTTTATTTATTAAAATAAAACTTCTCTCTTTACTCAAATCCACACACTTCAAAATCACTAAAGGCCTGAAGACTCTGATTCAAAAAATAAACTGGAACCATTTATTTAAAGGCTTAATCATGGGGAAGTGGGGTGGTCCTGTTCTACTCCAGTCATCTTTCAGGAGGAGAGGACATCTCCCATTCATAAACAGGGACTGAAGCAGTGGTGGGTTGCCCCTGATTCAGACCGGTTCGCAAGAACCAATAGTAAAACCGGCAGGAGGCCCCGCCCACCACCCCGGATGTCATCATCAGTTATCTGCACATGTGCAGAAGCTTCTGCGCATGTGCAGAAGCAAGGTGTGCACACGAGCGAAGTGAGCGCGTGCATGTGATCCCGTTGCGAACTGGTAGTAAAAGTAAATAGGACCCACCCCTGGACTGAAGCTTAATTTTTTCCCTAGAACTACATTTTCCTCCAGACCTCTATCTCCAGGTGAGAGAGTGGAAATGCTAGGAAAGGATAGGGCAGGTTTGCCTTTCTGAGACTCACTATATAAATAAAATAGCTATACTCACCGTAAAGGAGAGTGCCATTTAAAGCAGTTGTTTTCACAGTCAAGTAGATTGTCACCTTGTTCCGTTCTTGCCCTGATGCAAATCTATCCTCCAACAGGGAGGATAGTGAAGGTAGTTCTAAATAGGAGTTTCCACTGAATGATGGGAAGAATAACGTTGTATCTGGAGCAAACAAAAGTACATGACTCTCAGTGAAAAATTAGGCTGAGTTGCTTTTTTTACCCTAGGAAAGTAAGACTCCATACCATCAGTATCCTGCAAGGAATACCGATGGCAAGAGAGAGACTTGTCACACAGGGAATTTCCAGTGATGGGATTCAAATAATTTAACAACCGGTTCGCCCAGGGTCAGGTTGGCTGTCGTGGCCCATTCCTGTCCTCTATCTCTGCTGCACATGCAGGACAGCCAACCTGACCCTGGGCAAACCGGTTGTTTAATTACCCCTCCCCCCATCAAAGTGGATCCTGGGCGCTGAGCTGCGCTGCAATGGAGAAACAGGCAACGGAACGGCTGGCACGAGGGAAGGAGGAGGGAAAGTGGCTTTCTCACTTCCTCGCACCAGCTGCTCCATTGCCTGTTTCTCCATTGCAGTGCAGCACAGCGCCCAGGATACACTTTGATAGTGGGTGTAATTTAACAACCTATTCACCTGATCCGGTGCAAACCAGCTGAATCCCACCACTCACCATTCCTGTTCCCTTAGTATACTTTGCTTGCTTTAGAAGAAGAATGATTTTGATGAGAGCCGTATGGTTTTCTTCTGGGAATCCTGGATATGATAATAATTATTCATTGACTTGTAAGCACCATCCCCTTAATTTTACATAAAAACACAGAAGAATATGAAGAAGCTCTTCTTTTCTCTGCAGAGAACTAAATAAGAGTGGGAGTCTTCATAAGCAAAGAAGCTTAAAAAGAACAGACTCCTGAGATCTTTGGAAGCATGTAATGAGAACTTCTACAGAGTCATTCCTCAGTACTACTAGCACCCTTTCTCTAATCTACTGCTTTCAGTAGCCAACAAGAATTTCTTTTGGTATTTTACCTGCAACAATGCTGAGCCAATTATGTAGGACTCCTACATTTTAGGAGATTTTCTTGTCCAGGACACACACTTTCAAGCTGGCTTTTTTGAAAGGATATTCCATGACTCGTTGGCTTTGGTTCCTGATTTTTCCAGAGCCTTCCCTTCTCTCAGTCACTGCCAATGTCCCAAAACAGCACCCACACAAGCGCTGGTCTTTCCAATATCTTCAATTCCCCCCTCAACTACCTATTCTATTCAACTGTTCCTTCTAGTGATGGTCTCAGCAGGAAGTAACCATGTTCCCAGAATGAGATCTGCCATGGGACTATCCTTTCTTCAGCTTATCACCTTTCCTGATTTTCTCCACTATTAATGTTCTTGGCCTTCCACAAATTCTGGAATAAAACAGCCCAGTTTTTTCTTTGCACTGTCCAAAAGCCAAAATCTTTTGGTTTAGCTACAGATAACTCCAGATCACTGTTCTATGCACAGAACATCTTGCCATCTCTAGACAATCATAACATTTTCTTGGCAGCAATACAGAAATTGTTTGTGCCAAAATGTTTTTTTTTTCCTTTTAACTTTCCAATCTAATCTATAGTTTTGGAATTCCAGGAAGAGTCCGACCCAGATACTAACAGGCCTGAGCCTGCTTCAGAATGGAGCAATGGACTTAAGCACTACAATGCTTAATATGGTTTGATCAGAAAACAGCAGTTTGGAATGAAAGCTGGAAAACTTCATTGCCAGATATATTTGCAATAGTCTGGGAATGGGAGCAAGATGACATCATCTGTTCCTGCTCCCAGGAAGCAATGGGTGACCTCTACTGGTGATGAACTAAGCAGAAAGTTGGACTCTGCACTAACTAATAAATGCAGATATGCCCTTAAGGGACAGGGTAGAGAAGTCATTGCACACAGCACATTTATGGTTTTTGTTTTCTTTCTAGATTTTCTCTTTAGAAGCTTGTGTTAAATCTGGGGTAATCTTTCTTTGAACTGTTCCAAAGGTGCTTTTTCAAGAGGCAACTGGACTTTCTTCATTTTTTTTTTTTTTTGAAAAGAAGCGTTTCGCTTCTCATCCAAGAAGCTTCTTTAACTCTGACTGAAGAATTGAAGCAGCTTCTAGGATGAAAAGCAAAAAGTCTTCAAGGAAAAACAAAGAAGGTCCAGTTGCTTCTTGAAAAAAGCGCCTTTGGGCGAACCATGACCAAGATCTCTACAGCACTGGTGTCAAATTTGTTCATGTCACGTGATGTATCATGACGTATCGTGATATTTTTTGCCTTTGTGGAACTGGAGTGGGTATGGCCTTTACGTGATGAATCTGGCCCTCAGGCAGCCATTTTGTCAGGCCTGCTCTATAGATTTCCATTGAATTCATATAGTATAATTGCCAGTTGCCTCTACAAGTATCTTAGATGTTAGTAGCTTTCTGATTTGAAACAAATCAGATTATGACTTGGTTGTTTAATTGCTGTAAAAATAATTTAGAAATGGTGTAGTGGATCTTGGTTTGTTCTAGCAAGAGAGTTCCTATGTTCTTATGATCAGAGGCCCAAAGGATTAGATACAAACAACCTCCAATCAAATAACCTTTTATTAGCTAAAAAAAAGTTTTGTAAACAAATTCTAAGCCCGGCTGGAATTAAAATCTTCTAAACTACAGTGAAAGTAATTGTTGAAAACAGAATATTAGAGAAGGACAAACATTATCTGTAAATGAAACCAAGTTAATAAATCAGCATGCATGTCAGGATATTCTAGGATGAGAAAATGACCAGTCAGCGTTTTAAAAGACAATATAGAACCATGTTGCTTTATAATATGCAAAAAATGAAAAGCTTAACCACATCAGGCAAAAGCACACATTAAATCAATGAGAACTGGATATATGGCGCTGTGCATAGTTATAAATACTGTGATTGTCCCAATGTTGGTATCTGCCTTTGTGAGACAAATCCAAATATCATTGCTGAATAAACATTTCTCTTTATCCGCTAACCTCATCTACTCTCAGAGTGCAGAGTTGTTATTTCACAATTGTGCATTATTGGCTTTGCTTCTAACGGCATTTGCATTCAAAGTGGCTGCCAGAAATGTACAATTACTATTTCAACAGGATGCATGCTAGTGCAAGTAAAATATAATAATTGCCCAATTTTAGAAAATGACAACATTCAGGTTTTGAACTCGGTGGGCTCTGAGTCAGGGCGAAGACCTTGAATTGCTAAGGGAGTCTCCTCCTCATCCGCACCAGCATTTCTCTTCATAGGTCATAGGCCTGATTTAAGGATGGTGACAGACTCAGTCAGGATACAGATAAATCTGGTGGGACAACTACTTTTATTGACAAAATAGGCTATTTGCAAGTTATTCGGTGGCTTGATTTTTTTTACAGTTGCTGGTGAGATATTATTTACAGAGTCTCTGTTAGCCCTACAGGAAGCACAATCATGAAGTTTAACTCCATCTTTATTGAAGAGGTATGTTGACAGAATCTTGCAAGACTAAAAGTATTTCTTCCCTCCCTTCCTTTTACTCTCTATGTAAATTTACACAAGATCCCCTCTAAGATGCTTCCCATGCCTTCTTTCCTGTGGACTGAGACTTCTTTTATATGCTGGTTGTCCTGTCTGCAGTTATTCCTCCTGTCCCCCATGGTCACTCCCACATGCCATTACAGCCTCCAAGTTCTTAAAAAAATCCATTTATTTTTTAACGTTTAAGGGTTTTTTTTGTATATCACAGCCCTGCAGCAGTTTTACATTCAATTGTCATGTTTCTGTCCCTTCCCAAAATTTACATCCCTGTCTTGCTTATCTCTAATTTTAATCTCTTTGCTCTTTCTAGGCAACTTTGGGCCATCTGCTCCCACTCTCCTCTCTGCTAAGTTAAGGCTCTTCAGCAGCTTCCTTATACGCTAAGCAAGAAAAGGGGTGGGTGAGTGGATGAGCCAAGCCAAAAAGGCAGACAGAAATTTGATTCCTGAATTTCTTCTCTTATCTTCTGTGCAACTTCTGGCCATTCATCTGAGGCTGAAGTCCATTGGAGAATTTCTGGAATTCTCCTGGAACTTCGGGAGCTCCACTGCAGAACTTCAGAACTTTTTCTGAAGCCTTAGATACGTTGAACCCAGTGGTGAAATCCTCCATGGATTGTCACCAGTTCGCTGCCTGCATATGCGCGGTGCGCACCAAATGCGTGCTATGTGCACACATGCGCAGTGCATGCCCAAAGCTTGCTGCACATGCACATGCACAGTGTGTGCCAAAAGCACGCTGTGTGCACATACACAGTATGCTCCAAAAGCACACTGCACAAACATGCGTAGTGCACTCCAAACATGTGCTTCGCGTGGAAAAAGAAGGCTTAACAAGGTAAGTAGAACAGTGAGGGGGGGAACAGCTGTGCCGCACAATTTAGATTCACTAGAAAGTAGGATTTCCAGCTTTCTAGCGAATATAAATCGTGCGGCACAGCTGATTGTCGGAAATACCAGTTCAGACGAACCGTTAGCTTTTTTTCACTACCAGTTCACCTGAATTGGTAGCTTTTATTATTACTGGTTCGCCTGAATTGGTGCGAACCAGTAGCATTTCAGCACTGGTTGAACCACACCTTTGCATCTTCTCTTCAGTTTCTTTGGTCAAATACCAAAAAGCTTCTAAAACCACTTTCACATTCTATAAAGGTAAAGTGTGGATGTGCTAAACGTATGTAGAAGATGGTCAATGTCACCGGAATGATCACAACTGGTTTTTTTAATGGCCTTGAATAGTTAAAATAGCCATGGATTTCAGTGGGATGAAGGCAGTGGTGGGATTCAGCCAGTTCTCACCACTTCGGGAAAACCAGTTGTTAACTTTCTGAGCAGTTTGGCAAACCGGTTGTTGGAAGAAATCATTAGGGCAGAGAGCTGGTTGTTAAATTACTTGAATCCCACCACTGGATGAAGGTACAATACTTTTGTGTGTGTCATGGATTGGCAGCACAAAGTCACAATATGTAGAAACATGGAAAATTAATGTGTAGTTACTTTAGATAGATCTATCTAATTTGTTTTTTTTTCTTCAAAATTATTGTGTAGTGATGGAAAATAAAACCAGGAGTTCTTCCCATTATCTGGTCACTTCATGTGTCCCAGGGAACAGCCAGGGAGAATGGTACGCCCTCTTTCTGGGTTCACAATGGTTTTAGGAGAGGAAAGAGAAACTTTAGGGAGAAGGAAGAAAAAGAAATGGGATGCTCTTTCTGTTTTAAAATTTTCTTGTTTGAGATTTTGGGTTGAGGTTACTTAAATAATTGAAAGAATTAGTTGCACAACGTTGGTTTTAATAAAAACGTATAGATGCGGAACCTTAACCCAAATATATTTAAACTCAGCACTGTATTCAGCTTCTGTATCCATACTATTATGATTAATAACTTGTGCCATCAAATAGTGCTGGGAATGAAGGACTTCTGTTTTGTCCTTTCAGTTTTAACACAGAACAAATTAAAGAAAAGCAATTGTTGGATTCCCTTGATGTTGTTTCTCTTCCCACCTAGCATCACCTGCTGGCAAGAAAAATAAGCATCAATCATTCTCCTATATATCTGGCAGGGAAAGAATGCATCACATACAGAGATGCTTAGAATGGCTAGTCTACCCTCTTGTCAAGTTTCTGACTTGCAGGATCAGTCTACTCCTGAATATGGGAGCACTCTTCCAAAAATCCATTTAATCCATGCCCTGAAATAGCCCAGCTGGCAGGTCATAGGAAAAGAGGAAGGGAGTCGGGCAAAGTTAAAGAGAACTATTTTAGTGGTTCTTTATGTGCAAGTGTTGGGTTTGTTTATTTATTTATTTATTTATTAGATTTTTATACCACCTTTCAGACTTCATAAGTAACTCAAAGTCGTGAATGTACATAACATTCCTCCTATTTTCCTCACAATGACAATCCTGCAAGGTGGGTTGGGCTGAGAGAAAGTGACTGACTTTCATGGCTTTGTTGTTGTTAGTTGCGAAGTCGTGTCTGACCCATTGCGACCCCATGTGACAACATTCCTCCAGGCCTTCCTGTCCTCTACCATCCTCTGGAGTCCATTTAAGCTCACGCCAACTGCTTCAGTGACTCCATCCAGCCACCTCATTTCTCTGTCATCCCCTTCTTCTTTTGCCCTCAATCATTCCCAGCATTAGGCTCTTCTCCAGTGAGTCCTTCCTTCTCAAAGTATTTGAGTTTCATCTTCAGGATCTGGCCTTCTAAAGAGCAGTCAAGGTTGATCTCCTCTAGGACTGACCGCTTTGATTGCCTTGCAATCCAAGGGACTCGCAGGAGTCTTCTCCAGCACTTTCATGGCTGAGAGACTGGAATTCATAGTCTCCTGCTTAACCAGCAGACCAAACTGTCTCTCTCTCTCCCCCCCCACCTAAATAGTGAAAAAAAAGCTCATATAGGCAGGAGAAGGCTCATAATGCTTGTAGTAGGAAAGACCTAGCAATACAGATAGTCCTCGACTTACTTCCCTTCTAACCGTTCAAAGTTACAACGGCACTGAAAAAGTGACTTTTTTTTTTTAACAGCTCAAATATTATTTATTCAGAAATAGGATGATCTTATTCAGTGGAATATATGTTCCAGTAATAATGCATAATCATAACAAATTGCCCATAAGAATAAAACTAATTTCAGCTCAAATTGGCATGTATCTTGCAAGTTGATGCCTTTTACAGTATAAAGCATACCTTAAAATTATTTTTTATTCAGCTTAAATAAACTTTATGAGAATACAAGGCATATTTTAATTTCAAAGATGTAATGTGATCTCAAACTGGCTGGGATTATAAACTCCCAATTTGATTTGTAGCATATTTTGGACCTTTAAAATATACTGGGTTCCCAATGGCATTCCTCATTCTCCATTATGAATGCTGCTTATCCACAAAAATATATTTCAGTCTAACACAATTCTTTTACCTTGACCTTAAAGGACAGTTTATGCAAGGTGAGTAACCTGTGGTGTAAACAAATGAGCTTGAATCCCAACCAGACCTGGGAGTTAGGAATGTAGTTCATTTGGAAGACCACTACTATTAACATATAACAGTGGGTCACCAGCCCAAATACTTTGTAATTGAAACAATCTAGAGTAAATTATCTGTTTTCCACAGACATTTTCTTTGATCTCTATGTACCCAAGAATTGGTAGTAATCTGTAATGTTATTACAGATTAAATCATAAATAGTTCATAGCTATTATTCTTTTGTTTCTGTCTGGTCCAACTATTTTTTCTGCTTTCCCCTCAATTTTACAAATGAAATCCTCATTAATTTCTTCTGACTTGATAGCAGACCTACAACGGATTTTTTTTACACCTCTCCATATATCAAGTACACAAGCTTATTAGTAGTACACAGCACAACTTTCCCAGAGGCCTTGAAAAAATGAGGATTACATGTAGATATTGAAATGGCAGGAAAATAAGGCCAATTCACCTACTCAGTTTTTACCGTCCAACATTTCTATTCGTCCTTCTCTTTTTGACAAAGGAAACTTAATATTTTCTTCGGTAACTTCTTCATAGGTAGAGCTCTCCTCACATTCCGAATCATCTTCTGATTCTGTTGTATCACAGTCATTCAGTTCTACTAAGGCCACATTCATTTCAATTATTTTTTCCATCAAAGAATCTACATGTTCAATGTCAAACTCTTGGCTAGGTTTGCTGTTCATTTCTCTTCTCAGCTGATTATTTGCACTAGCCATCTGGGGTAGAAAATTCTGCACCTTATCCAAAATATTGCTTCTGGGCAGCCTGGTTGTCTGTAAGGTTGTGTCTTTCTTTTTAGCATGTTTTGGACTGAGCAAAAGTATTTCGCTGATACCTCCTCCACCTCCCACGGAAAGAAGCACCCGAGATATCTCGGGACCCGCACTGCCACCATTCTGCGCCATTCAGCCCAATCGATATCTGAAAAAGTGACTTATGACCATTTTTCAGACTTAAGACAGTTGCAGCATCCTTGTGGTCACGTGATCAAAACTTGGATGCTTGGCATCGGATTCATATTTATGATGGTTGCAGTGTCCATGGATCATGGGATCCTCTTTTGTGATTTTATGACAAGCAAAGCAAAGCCAGATTTGCTTAACAACTATGTTACTAATTTAACAATTGCAATGATTCACTTAACAGTGATGTCCCGGTGCCTGGAGGCCATACGGATCTGGATGGGGAGGAACAGGCTCAGGCTCAACCCATCCAAGACCGAGTGGCTGTGGTTTCCGACGTCCCGATATAGTCAGTTGACGCCATCACTGACTATTGGGGGCGAATCATTGGCCCCCACGGAGAGGGCTCGCAACTTGGGCATCCTCCTGGATTCACGGCTGTCTTTAGAAGAGCACTTGACGGCCGTGACTGGGAGGATTTTTCATCAGGTTTGCCTGATTCGCCAGTTGCGTCCCTTTCTGGATCGGGACTCGTTACGCACGGTCACTCATGCCCTCGTCACCTCCCGCCTGGACTATTGCAATGCTCTCTACATGGGGCTCCCCTTGAGGAGCACCCGGAGGCTCCAACTGGCACAGAGTGCGGCCGCGCGGGTGGTAATGGGAGCGACATGGTGCTCCCATGTAACACCTCTCCTGCGCGAGCTGCACTGGCTCCCGGTGGTCTTCCGGGTGCGCTTCAAGGTTTTGGTTACCACCTTTAAAGCGCTCCATGGCTTAGGACCTGGTTACCTACGGGACCGCCTACTATCACCAATAGCCTCCCACCGGCCAGTACGCTCTCATAGAGAGGGACTCCTCCGGGTGCCGTCAGCCAAACAGTGTCGACTGGCGGCCCCTAGGGGGAGAGCCTTCTCTGTGGGGGCACCTACCATCTGGAACGAGCTCCCCCCGGAGATACGGAGGATCCTGGGCACCTTCCGCCGTGCTGTGAAGATCTTTTTATTCCATCAGGCGGGCTTGGCCTAATCTCTTCCCTTTTTTAAATATGTAAATTTTAATCCGTTTTTAAATTATTGGGGTGTTTTAATCTGTCCGGGCCAAAATGATTTAATTTGATTTTATCTGGTTTTTTAAATTTTTTGTATCTATGTATTTTATTGTTGGCTGTTCACCGCCCTGAGTCCTCAAATCAAATAAACTATAACTAACTATAACTAACAGTTGTGGCAAGAAAGGTCATAAAATGGGGAAAAACTCACTTAACAAATGTCTCACTAAGCAACATAAATTTGGGGCTCAATTGTGGTCGTAAGTCAAGGACTATTTGTACTCAATTTCAATGAGTAGTTGAACTTGTCAACAGCAATTAGGTGGAATGTAGATCTCTTCCTCAAATGAATTTTAGCCCATTTGCATGGTATATCTCCATGCAAACTTTGAGTGACACACCACCTTGCTGAAGCCTCCACTTCAGAGGTGCTATTCAGCCGGTTATCCGGTTTGGGCGAATTGGTAGCGACGGCTGCGGGAGGCTCCGCCCACCCCCTCGGACATCATCATGGCCCGTTTTTTACGCTCTGCGCATGCACAGAAGGTCCTGTGCATGTGTGGAGGTGCAGACTCCCATTTGCGAACTGGTAGCAAAGGTAAGTGAATACCACCCCTGCTCCATTTGTGTGGTAAATTAAACAAGAGGCAAAGTATGGAAGCTGGCTGCATCAGCCTCTTTCTCTCCTGGTTTCAAATGGCCTTCTGTAGAACTCAGGTCTAGCAATTTCTCAAAAGAATGTTCAATTTGCATAGGTGAGAAGACTAAGTAGAATCTAAGACCAGGGAAGATCTTCAGAAAGTGTCAGTCAGTTGTTACTTAGGTAGGTGCCTCTGTGGAGGCCAGGTGTCTGTTCTCTCCTGTGTCCCAAAACAAAATATTTATGAGGTGATCTGCAATCAGAAGGAAGGAAGGGAGCCCACCATGGGATGAAATGGCTATAATGTGGTAGTCTTGGGATGACAGCGAAGCAACAGCAGGAGGACACATCATAAAAAAATGTTCATTAGCTTTTGTGCCAAGGTTAGCAGAAAAATGAGGATGAGCTCACTGAGACTTCATTTTAAAACACCCTTTCTTTTCCCCCAACTTAATCGACAAATGTTGCTTAGCCAAGCACCAATAAAAAAACCTTAAATTATTTGATAAGTAATAATCTCATAAAATAGCACATTCAGATACACACATCCAAATTACAGGGCAGCTGATAAATAGCGTATTTATATAACCACTAGAAAATTTGCTCCTTATCAAGACTATGTTAGCTCATAAAATACACGTTCTATTTTTTGAAAAGTAAAAATAGATTGGCTTGCTCTTTTCCTTTTCTTAGACTTCAGTATATTTGAGAATGTAAAAGTGTACTCTGATTCAGGCATACTGGAGTGCTTTACAGAACACTAATGAGAAACCTTCAAAAATATTTGAAGTCAGCACTGCATCAAAATTCATAATCTACATTTTTATTGACCTTAAACACAGCGGGTAGAGCTATATCAAATTTGTTATGTGCAAAAATAAAACCGGAAAGGGGTAGAATCAATTTCTTCAGTCTATGCTTAAAAGATAATAGATTTTTTTAAAGCTTCAGGAAACAATGAAAGAGTATATTCAGTCTTGAGGAAGGGGTATCCAGATACAATATGGTGAACAGGGAAGGTCAAAACAACATTATGCCTGGTTTATTTAGGGTGACAGGCTATTAAACTCCAAAGGCCAACATTTCACCTTGCAGTTGGTTGTGGTGCAGTTGGCTTTGGGGGATACATTTAAAAAAACAAACTGCTGACTACATCTAGACAAAAATACTAAAACAACCCCCCCACCCACCAAAGAGAAAGAATATGATATTTACAACAGCTAAATGGATTAGAGTCCATTAAGGCAGTGTTTCCCAACTGTGATGACTTCTTTGGATGAGGTGACCATTCCCTGAGAATTCTGGGAGTTGAAATCCAGCCAGCTAGAAATTTCACAGTTGGGAAATCCTGAATTAAGGAGTGTCAGCCTTTCATTATGTAACATCCTAAGGCCTCAGAGGCATTGCTAGCCCTCACAGCTTTGAATATAGGCCCCAGACTTTCAAAGATTGTCACAAGAGGGACAAGTATGAAATGCATGACATGAAAGCAAACATGTTGTCAACATTTAATGTTAACAGCAATGGATTTGATATTATTTATATTTCAATTGAGTTGATGTCCAAATACCACCCAATACTTTTAGAAGGATACCCCACTGGTATTATATTTTACATTTTGACTTTCCTCAGGATGACTTCCTGAACTCCCCCTTTCTTTTATCTCCATTACAGAAAATCAGAGTTATCAGTTGTGTTGAAGAGAGTGACTGACCCAAAGACAACCAATGAGTTTTCTTGAATGAAGCTCAACCAGAATTTGGGGTTCTCTTAATCACCAAGTGATCACATATAGCTCGGATCACCATATGTTTGCTGGAAAATACATTGACCAGATAGCTTTTGACTGCTATTTAACCTCTGGATGTAGATTTGCAGCCCAGATGTGCTTGCAAATGGGCTGCATTGCTTTTTTCATTAAAAAAAACCAACCTAGTGTATTTGTAAGGAAAGGAAACACAAACTATTATATTAGGATTTGAAAACTAAAATCCTGTTGTCGAAGAAAACATTTTTACTTTCAACATTTGCTATATCATGTTAAGAATTCTAGCCCCCTGAACCATATAATAAAAAAGATTGCTCAATGTTGCAAGATATAAACAGAATTTTGTATAAGAAGGACTGCTTGTCAGTGCTAGCTGATAGGATATTTCCTGTCACTAAACAGGATGTGATTTTTTTTTCTTTTTCTTTTGGAAGAAATGTTTGGATATTATTTCAGACTTTTGATTGATTGACTGATTGGTTGGTTGGTTAATTATGTTTCATAAAATTGATAAACTGTTAGTGATTACATAGATTTTTCTCAGGAAGATCTGTACACAATCTCATCCTTTATGTCTCCCATATGTGCACCAACTGTGGCTGTAACCTCCTACCTCTTCCACATTACAGACATCTCCAGAAAGCTAAATTCTCAGATAAGAATGTATCTGAGTATGATCATTTGAGCATAGTCATCTGTGCCTCAAATGAGAACTCTGAATTGCTTTGTTCTATGTTCCAGTTGTTTGTCAGGACTCTTCTCCAACACCAAAATTTAAATAAGTCAATACTCTTTAAAGTCCAACTTTTGCTTCCATAGAATATCACAGGGAAAATCACTGCCTGCATGATTCTGATCTTGGTAGGTTCAGATCTGAATGTGTTTTCCAAGGCCTTCAGAGATGCTGTACCAAATGCTAGCCTCTGGCATATTTCTTGCCTGCCCGTTCCTTTACTGTTGGTAGTTAAACCTAAAAAACAGAAGCTATCCATTACTTCATGATCTTAATTGTTAATTCTAATGCTGGTTGCTATACCTCTTTGATTAGTTTGGCATTTATATTTAATCTTAGTCCTGTTATTTACTCTGCTGTCTGACTTTCATTACTGGAGCATGCAGATCATTTGCATTTTCAGCTAATATCATCAGCATAATTCAGGTTATTGATATTTCTTCCTCCTGCTTTTCAACCGTGTCCTTCTTCTTCTAAATCAACTTCCCTTAATATATATTCTACATATAGGCTGCATAAGGGGGTAGTATGTAGCTTTGCCTTACCCCATTGCCCTTCTGGACCTAGTCTGTTTCCCATCTACCTGCACTGTGGCTTCCTGACCTGGGTATTAGTTTCACTTGAGCCTGCATCTCTTGTTTATCTCTTTTGAAGAAAAAGAAACTCAGTATACCAGTCCAACTGGGTGTAAGTGCCACTTGTTATTAAATTGCTCACACTTCTATTGACAGATGACTTGGGACAGTCATAAAGCTATATACCTCTTCTTTAGATAGAATGCAGGCTCATTTACAACAAGTCATAGTCCTTC